TCACATCATATATGACACTTTCTATTTTTGTTGCATTGATCACAGATCGCAGAAGGAAAACGTCTAAACATCTTATTCGAGCTGCGCGACCCGGCAGGCAACAGCTACCTCCAGGTGTGTAACTTTATTGCCATGTTTATTCAGACTACTAAGCAATATTAGTATGACTGTAACCGACAATTCGATCTTCTTGGACAATCACAAGTTTGTTTATCTGGTCGCCAAATACCTTTCAAGCAGAAGGCGCCTCAAGTTCCGGTGTGCTGTGATCAAAACCAGTCTATTAAAACCGTTCATTGTAATGTTGCTTTGTTTTTTACTCTTATGTGAGGTCAAATTTATGTAAACACCTATTTTACGTTCTAGAACTTGTACGCTCCAGAACCAGATCCGGAGATGGAAGTTATCGATTACGAGCGAACTGATGAGGAGAACGATGAGCTGGGGCTGAAAGACATGCATGTATGAAGAGAACCGAGCTGGCAAAGGAAACAAAGCCCAAGACCTTATCTATGTCCACTGACTGACCCGCGACCTTTTTCTAGATGTTTTGACGCATGATACAAGGACACTTTAACACTACCGCCATTACTCATATTCTCTTGATGCTGAATTTGAGTTGTGTTTTGATTGATGAATACAGTCGATACACGCTAATCAAAGTATTGTACCAAACACTGATGTTTGAAATAAATATCCTACCGGAGGCTACCTCTCATGCAGGCGGAGTCGGTCATTGGTTTGGCGAGCGAACCAATTGATCTTTACAGTCTTCGTAGTGAAACGATTTGGTAGCTGTTTTTACTACTCACCAGACAGTTTTAGCCTAAACATCCAATTGGTGATTGGATAATAGAAGAAAATCTTGTGCTAATGTACTTTTCACTGATAGATTTTGTTTACGGTGACACTGGTACTCTTTGAATGCCTCCAGATCTCTTGGGCACCCTAAGTGACTCAAACAGCGCCTCTTTCTGAACACTTATCGTGGTTGCATTCGCGCCAGAAAAATGGCTTGCGTCAACAGACAAAAAACTGGAAATTCAACATTACAACACAACTTTGAGAAAATATTTCATGCGCAATACAACCAGTATGATCAGTGACTAGACATTGACGGCGGAATGGAACAGGGCGCCTGTTCAAGAGCTGGTATCAGGAACGTGAGAGCGGTCACCATCAATAGCACCACCAAATGCATGTTGAACGATGAGAGAGAGAGACAGCTGTACAGTTCGATCACCTGACGTCCACTGGTAATAATGGAAATATAAATCAAATGTTGGTTAAGTATTTAGCCGTTGGTTTGTCGAAATATACTTGATAACTGCCGGACAAAGTTGCGGTAACTTCTTATGAGACGGACCGCGTGTACACTGAGTGTCGGGAAGAAACGAGCAAATCACGTGTAGAGTAAACGGACATACTTATCCGCATTCACAGTTTGTGTGTGATAAAAGAAATGAACAATTTCAAGACTGAGCAACTAGTCTGAAGGCGGGGGCGTCGGGTGAGAACAGCAGAGAAATTTGAGACAATATACAGGGACGGAAATGCATGCGCATAAACTGGTTATACACCGCTGGTGTTTGGACCTGCATCCTCCACATCAGCACTAAGCTCCATTGTTTCGTAGTGGTCGTCTTCAGCTCCTGACAGTGCGGCATCTTCATCGTATTCTTCAGTATTATAGAGAAGAGAGAAATCGGTCAAATGTCGGGCACTACTAACATGAGACGATGGAGAACCGTTGTTCTGTGTTATATTAAGTAGTCCAGCCTCGTCTATATGTTGTGGTGGAGTCATGCCCAAAAGTCTAACAAATGCAGCTAAATCGTATGGGTCTTGTTCGTCACCTAAGGGTATATCATTGGCCGTATTGCCCAGGGTGGTAGAAGATACGTTGTCGGGCATGGCCAAAACGCGAGAACGGGTCACTCGACTGGGACGTGCTGATGCCATATCAGAACCGGCACTATCTGGTGTGTTTCCTCGACGAGCTGTATTTCGACTGACTGCTATCGGGGGGTTGGTCATAATATCCCGCAAATGTGTGTTGGCTCCTTTGGGGTCCAAGCCCATTGCCCATGAATAGTGGATCATGGCCTGCGGTGTGTTACCCAGCTTCTTGTATGTGTGGCCGATCATCAGATATACCATGGCCTCACGAGGAGTGAGTACCAAAAGTTGTTGCAGTTCATTCAGCACGGCCTGCAAAGTATTAAAAAAAACAGGAATTCGAGAGCCAATTATAACACGACCAAGAGAAGTAAACAGTTATTTGAACCCTCAGTTCCACTGTGGAACTGAATAAGTTGCAGACGAAACATGTCTGCAAGACATATCATTGAAGTTACGAAATGCATTATTCGAAAAGCTTACGTCTTCAAAGGAAGGCTACTGAAGCTGAAATGATGAACAGTCAACATCATCATTGTACAGCGCAATACAGGAATACAGTGAACTTCACTGATCGCTGCCAAACTCATAACGTATACAAGGAAAGTGAGAATGCGTAGGGAGGACAGGGATTGGGTCTATCTTTAGGGACGGAAAAAGAAAGCGAATCTCTATAGTCAACACACAGAGTACACGGTCCAGCTGTGCACACATACTATTTCAAACATTCTGGTCTAATAATAAGTGACAGCAAGATCGCCACTGCTGTCGGTTTGCTGCCATGACCTTCAGTGTTTCCAACCATCCAGTTACGGTCTTCTGGACTCCAACCCGGAAGACAAGACAAGATACCTACTCTACCTAATCGCTCTGTAGACGTCTTCATGATCAGCAATAAAGGGCTCTAGCCAGCAGACTACACTCTTTAGTGAGACAATCCGCATCGGTTGCAGTTTCACACTTTATTTATCGACCAGCATAGGTGATGGGGACCAAGCAGTGTGGGTCACAACGACCACCTCAGGGGTTGTATTCGAATTCAGTCGCCCAATTTAATCACTCATTCGTACCTTACAGTAACTTACTTGTTAGTCGCTGAATAGTTCCTGAGAAATGACTGTGCATTCGCCTACTCAACAAAATCAAACAGAATCGCTTGGTCTTGATATGATCAATCACAGTGCCCATTCACAATGTAAGGAAGTCTCCGTAAAACACCAACAATAAAGAAGTCCCGTAAAGAAACGATAACGTCCAGCAAACAGAATAGTAATTCAGTTTCAGTTTTTACAACTATGCACTTTTGTGCACCGGTTTTGATTTCTATATTTTGGCCATCCATTTGGATAAGAGAGCAGATTAAAGGGGAAGATAGAGAAGTTATAGACTGAGGTTTCAAGAATAATGAGTAGATGCATGAGCATAACTGTTTACGATACCCAGCCGTGTCACTCAGTGTCCCTAACCACCAGTGACCATGATCTAGGGCCCCCTTCCAGTTTCAGGCTGACATTGTGATTTGTCGATTAGCAGTCGCTTGGGTTCAGATGAGGTAGGATGGCGGAAGATAACAGGATTTACAAAATACAGTTCTATTTGCATTCTCACCTTGTATCGGCCCAAATGAAAGAGGATAGAAGCACGGTGATAACGCGCAAGTGGGTTTTTCGGTTGCAGTTTGCAAGCTAAAGTAACCAGGTGCAAAGCACTACCAGGTCCATCGTCTAAACGTCCCAGACGTCCACGTAATGCACCCAGATTTGTCAACAACAAGGGGGAGTGCGAGAATAATGCAACGGCCCGAGCTAGATGCGCTTCGGCAAGTTCAAATTTTTCTTGTTTATAATAAACATTGCTAATGCCAAAAAGAGCATTGTATTGTCGAGGGTCCAAACGAAGCGCATGACGGAAAGCAACCAACGCTCGGTCGAATTCTTCTAAAACCGAGTGTTCATGGCCCAGAAGCGTGTAAGTATAAGCGCTTGTTGGACAGACCTAAAGAAAGAAAGCAGAAAGCACCGATGCGAAATATTTCCAACAGAAAATTCGTTAAATATTGATACACTCACATAAATATTTGATAATCTGACCAGTGAGCAGTATAGATAGGTGAAACCGGTGTTCCACACTAAGAAGTTCTTATTGCATACTATTACACAATTGAATAATATATTCTCTAATAAATTACGAAAAATACTGCTAAAAATTAGATCCGAGGAATATATTTGTGCATATGCTCATTAGAGAAGCTGACAGACTCGGGGCTAGAATTCACCGGAGTCTGCTGTTAAAATGAACACGTGTGGTCTGCATCAAATATTTGCCTACTCGAGTATACATCAGACGTTCTCTATTCTAGCTTCTTTTCACAGCAGGGAAAAACAACTGACAGACGAGTACGAATGAGCTAACCCAGTTTAGGATTTCAATCAAATAGAAAAGCTACGAGCTTCAAAACCAATGAATTCAGAATAAGCGCAAGGGGTTTATCTGGCCTTACAACTTTTAGTGAATCTTCTCGATGATAGTTCGGTGATTTATCACTCAGATAACCCATACTTATCAAATCAACTCGGATCAAAAGAAGCTAAAATTACCTTGTTCTCAGGGTTCTTGAACGATAAGCGACGGGCACAATAAATCAAGGACATCAGTACCGCATCGATAAAATGAATTTGATTCCACTACAAACGCGGTAAACGAGTCAAGTTACAGATAACCCTTAACATGAGTTATCAAAACAAGTGAATGCTTCATTAAAATTACCCTGCGCAATAATCCAGTATCATTGCGATAATAAGAAACCCCTCTAGTCTTCCCCATCAGAAATTGTCTGTAAAATCAACGCACGCATGGACGCCGCCTACGCTTTGTACGCGAACGCTCTACCAGCTGAGCTACGAGGCCACACCGATATCGGTGCCAAAACAACCATTTGTAAAATCATCAACTTAATCTTTCTAAAAATCTGTCCATTGAGCTGGAACCATACAATCAAAGCCGTAGCTGTAATTTCAGTCACAAGCCAATTAGCACATGTCTCTCAAGCTGTTTTATGTAGGTTCATAGCTGATTTCTTCAACCCACCTCGCCTAATGGATGTCAATTGATCATGGTCGGTTTGAAATCAACTTTTGTGGAGAACGCGTTTCAATAAACCACAAGTTGTATCTTGCTGTCATAATGAAGTGAAAACGGGCAACAAAAAATGAATTTATGATACGAAAGTCAAGCCACAATGAGGCTAGTGCTATTACCTGTAACCCGCGACGGAAGAAGTGTATCGCCGTTTCGTGTTCGCCTTGCAGTGAAAAGCAATTTCCTGCTGCACACCAAGGCTCGGGTGCGTTTCGATCTAGCTCCAGCAAATCTTGAGCTAATTCAGAAAGTTCGTTGTCCGCTTGAAGTTGCCATAGACACGTTGAGTAGAAGTCCATACCACAAAGCTGCCACGGCTCAATACGACGGGCTTCCGCAAACAGTTTATGGGCAGTCAAATAATCTGCATTGTCCATGTGTGCGCAGGCAGCCCATGAAAGTATCCGTCCGGTTGCCAGCTGCGAGGTCGGTAGTTTGGCCAATATTCTCGTGGCGGATTTCCACTGGTGTTGAACTAAAAACTGATATGCTTTGCCAAGATCCCCCAGAAGCTCTAGATAATTGCTGAGCGAGTCAACCCGCGGATCACCCTTATTTGATGCTGGAACGTCTATTGTTACCATATCCCTATCCTGTACGAAATTCCCAAAGGAAGCTGATTCATGAGTATGTATATCTGAAAACTGTTCTGTAGCATCAGTGTTTGACCGCGACAAGCCAGTCGTTGGGGGACTCTGTGTGTCGGACTGCTTGCACTCCGGTTTCTTAACGGTAACTTTGTTTCTGATCAATCTAGTGGAACGCCTTTGCATTCCAGAGGCACGAGCTACTGCAGCAGCTGCCGCCACTTGCGACCTTGTTCTTGGTCCAGTGCTCTGATTGTCATCTGTCATAAGTGAATCACCACTTAGTCGTCTTAAAGGGCCCTGAGGTGAAGCTCTTGGGGTAGACGATGAACTAACACTTGTGCCGGGCGGTGAACTCATCGGCAAAACAGGTACAGATTTCGATGTGAGAACAGAACTAGAACCAGAAGAGGCTGCTCGTTGACCGCTGCTACGAAGTACAGGAGGTTCACGTGGCTGCAAGGTTGGACTATGAAGTGTGTTTCCAACTATTCCTCCTTCTAATCCAGTTGTGCTGGGTGTGGTGGCTATTACTAGTCGGCGCAAAGAAGACGCAGTAAATGAAGGGGTCGAAGTAGTAGTTTGTTCTATGGTTGATCTCGTTCCTTGGTTAGTTGCGGTCATGTGCATATTGCGTGCATTGAGGGCACTGATGTCAGACTCGACTGTTCTGGATCTGAGTCGAGTTAATGTGGAGTTCACAGAATTATGCAACGTGTTCCGATTCTGTGAAGCAGCTGCTGGCGTAGTTTCGTTAAATGCCGTTTGACGCAAGGGAATGCACTGATTATTCCCGAAACGCATAGAATTAGACAAAATTGAATCACATGCGCCAGGATGAATGGAAGGCTTATGAAAAACCTGAAAATAAAATAATATTTTCATGAGTTTTGACAGTGGCCAAAATACAAATTTGTGTAATCAAAGAGCAAAATCTATGGAGTATCAAATTCGGTCTAACTAGACTTATAAACGGATCAGTCTTAAAACATATTCCCTATAGAGTGCTAACATCTACTCCACCGACTCCATGATCGTTAATACTCATGACCGAAACAAGGTTCAGATATGATTTTATTTAGATCCCGGACCATATGAATACCAAACCTGTTTCACTCATGAAGGTTAGCTGCATTTAACCCCTCAAAATAGGCACATTCCTTATCTTCCTTACACATTCTTACCTACCTTGCATATCTTATGAGCTTGGCAGCTATCAGTGAAGTGCACTCCACTGTATTGAGTTGCGCGACGGTGATGTATCTAACCTGTGGATGATTTCAACTCAGAGAGCTGCGAATCACGTTTTCAGATCATATACAGTAGTGCGCTCCACAGGAGACAGGGTGAACCCCATAGTCTCGAAAAGTTGTTATTCAGTGTTGGAAACTGGAAACCTAAGCCCCGAGAATTGGAGAGACGAACCACGTAAGACCCGATAGTTTGGGCGTCGTATTGAAATGGACGACAGCAAAGCTGACTAACAGCACGAGTCATTCGTCAGTTTGGATAAATAAAGGTGCACACTCCCAACCACAGCGCATGATTGTCATGCACTCAATAGATTTTCTTCAATATTTTATATTCGCACTCCCAGTCGATTTTTTACGAAATCAAGCAGTTAGACTTGACCGTAATTAAAGTTCGATTAGTTTTCCAACAAGGTTGTATCACTATCATGCCTAAGTTGGTTGAGCAGGATAAATTGGTAACCGCGAACTGGCAGAAAAACACGGAGCGATTAGCAGGACTCTGCTATGAAACAACAGGTATTGCATAAGAACAGTTGGAAACAAGTTTTATTACGCTTCTTCTCACTGTATTGTCATCATAGATTTAAGATTATTTCACTATCGGATCTGGATGATGATGATAAACGTGGTTTTAGGCCGCCAAGCATCATCGGTTTTCTGATTCTTGTGTGTAGGCACTTCACTGGCTGATGTGTGATAACAAGGCAGTTTAGCTTTTATGGTTGTATGGTTGCTCTCAAGCACAGTAAAAACGAAGGAGAGCAGTTATAGGTGGTAGTCAGTCCTGCAGTCGCCCGGCTCATTACCACGCTCAGCCTTATGTGGTTTATCACTCCAAGTCTCAGAGTTAGGTTGCCGATCTTCTCTCACAATACAAATCACTCTACCTATGAACTCTCAACACCCCATAGCCCTCACCAACATTCGTAGTTTAAATGGTAACGTTAATTCTGTACACTAGTTTCCACAATTTCTTCTTCCTTGGATTTCTTTTTGACAGAGATATAAATCTCTCCCTCGAAAGAGACCACTACTCTTCAGATCCCTTCCTCCATTCTTCTTTTCTTTCTACAGATGGCGTCAATTTCTCTGCAGCATTAATCCACTGAAACTAAATTTTCTCTTTGATCCTAATTTCAACCTTCCCTGTCTTTCTCCATCCAAAAGACAGCACCTAAAACCGGTGCACGATAATGCATAGTTGACGGTTGTACAAACTGAAACTGACAGCGGGTGTCTGTGCCTATCCCCGTAATCATCACTGTACAGCGAAATACAGTGAGGAGAACTTCACTGGTCGCCGCCAAACTCGCAATGCATACAAGGTTAGTGGTAAAATTTAAGATGGACAGGGATTGGACCTATTTTGAGGGAGGAGGAAGAAAATGAACCTCTATGGTCTGCGCCTATATCCATCATTCTGTTACTTCTCAAATTTCGCACCTAAACTTCTCCAATCGTGAAACTCAACTTATGTGGCTGAAACTTCGGTTCAATTCTTTTAACCACTATTTTTGCACTGTATGCCGCTCCCCCGAGCAGCAGCGATTCTTCTATTTTTGATATTTTATATTCCAACAATGAGACAGTAATGGCGGCAGATCCTAACAGCCAAATTATCTTTGTAGGAGTTTTCGATGTCCACAACATGGGACGCGAAGCTGGGGCTTCTGAGGTGGTCAACAACCTGAGTCAATTATTTGACCTCTACACGCATCCCTGATCGTATTGGTGACCAAGCCCACACTCTTGGCCTCATTCTTACATCCATTCCCTTGTTTCTTCAACATTACATCCCTTTCTATATTAGGCTCATCGGACTATTGCCTCATTTTCTTCCTCACTCAGTTCTCTTAACTCATCTGATCACCTAGCTCCAGACGCACTTTTGGCATTACGATTTAGCCAACTGAGACAACTTTCTGGATTGTCATCCCTAGAAGGATTGTTGTTTTATATCTGATGTCTCCACTTCTGTTTCCAAAACTTCACAGAAATCGTTCTTCAAGGTGTCCTTATATTTCACATTTTTCTGAATCTGGCAAACCACGATCCCCTGAGTGGTTTAACCATGCTTGCAACCGTGCTGTATGTTTCAAAAACNAAACTCAACATTCCGTCGTTGGCGCCAGCAACCCGCAACCACTTCGTGCAAGCCAGAAACAAGCGCTCGCTCACCATACAGAGAGCTTAAGAACGCTTCAACTGTCGCAAAGCGGCGTACTTGGCTTCTTCCGCCACCGGTAACCGAACAATCTGGTCCCTCGCTAAAGTGATTTCATGTAATTTCTGCCCTTCCAGCTTTCCTCCCATTTGCAATTCCTCTGGTACTCTTGTTTGTGAACTCCACGAAAAAGCAGAGGTCTTCGCTTTCCGGTATGTCTCTAACTCCACTTTATCTGCCGACTCTACTTTCCAACCTTCCTCCCATACATCCAATTACTCCATTCTACTTATCACAACAACCAGAAAGGTCCACCAAACTCTTCGTAGTTTGGATGTTTTGTAAACCACCCGGTTCGGACGATATTCCACCTATCGTCCTAAAAATGTGTGCTTGGAGTTAGCCCCTGTTCTACGACGCCTTTTTTGTTCTTCACTCGAACTCAGATCTTTTCTCACTTTGTGGGAAAATGCCATTATTTTTCTAATCCCAAAGCGCGGTGACCCTAACGACCGCAACAACTACCGTCCCATCACTCTCATCTGTAATTTCGGAAGCGTTTGAAACCAATATCTCCGACCGGTTGTGTACGTTTCCCGAACGCAAAGGTTTCTTGAATGACCGTTAGAAAGGATTTCGCCCTCGTCGATCTACGGGTGACCTACTGGCGCTCACATCACATTCCGGGTCGACTGCACTCGATAACCATGGAGAAACTTACATAGTCTAGCTCGACATTTCAAAGGCCTTCGACCGCGTTTGGCATGAAAGTCTGCGGTGGAAATTACCCAAGTTCGGATACCACTCTTCCA